GCAAGATCATATCAATATGATGGTTTAAAGACAAAGGATGGCCAATATGATGGTTTTCTATGATGATTCAACATATCAAAAGGTGCTTTTCTATCATTAAATTGCCAAATTTCTGTTATTGCTATGAATGTATGTTTTATGGTAGGATAACAAGTTCTTGGTGGTCATTGGATGTTCTTGGTCGAACGATAAACCGTCATAAAAAGGTATGTAAACTACATGTGATCCAAATTTAGTGATTTTACTCATTTTTTCGTGTTTAAGAGTATTACTATTTTTAAAAATGTAAAATATATCGAATTTTTATATTTTAGGGTCAGTTATTTTTGTAATGTTAATTAATATTCGAATTAATTTAATAGAGGGTATTTAAGTAATTACGCAAAATCAAGGGCTCAACAAGAGCCGAGAGTCCGACACGTCAGGAAAAACACTTCTCAAATATTGTTATATATAGAGGCTCCTCGGAGGCAACGATGGGTGTCTGAAAATTTTAGCAGCGTTGTGCCTCTTGTTGGTTGGAATTGGAACACCAGCTGGTGTATAAGGATCACACATAACCTGCATGTATCAATAATCAATAATTTCATGGATCTGATATAGTTCCAATTGAATTTGGTACACTAATCAGATAAAACAAACCAACCAAGATGTTGTTGCCTTTATTGAAGTTTAATATAATAATTGATGATTAAGCGTTACATAGATGGATAAAGACGTGACAATAAAAATAGATAGATAAAAACAAGTTTTACGTTTTTACACGCCTTGATTCAAGGCAAGACACCGAAACACCCCGTGAAACGAACATGTTCATACCTAAATGAAAAATCCACAAAGAGATCAGTATTTAAAAAAGAGATAAAACTTCTGATCGCATCAATACAAAGAAATAATAATAATTGAGACTCCTGGTGAAAGATAATCAGAGAGAAGCAAGAGAAAAAGAAGAGTTCCCAACGATTATAGTCTATTAGGGTTGTTGAGAGGCCGTAATTTGCATCATGATGGAAGCAATAATCAAACTGATATCAAATTATGTAAATACAAAATCAAAGCTTCTTTTTTTTTAGTGAAGAATATGGTAAATACAAAATCAAAGCTTTTTTTTTTTTAGTGAAGAATATGAAATCTAAGCTGCTCGCAAAATATTATGGGAAAGCTTATAGATTTCTCAATACATCCAAGCATAATTTAAATATTAAACATGAAAGTACTAAAGTGAAAAACTCACCATATGTTCGATTGAATCAACAATTTAATTGTCCTGGAATTGTTTAACGACGTTGCATCCGTAACCTATAACCATACATAAACACCATGAATTCATATGTGTAAAGCCAAATAAAATAAAACGCAAAAAAAAAAATAGAAAGCAAAAAAAATGGGGTTAGTTATGATTTGAAAGTGAAACCTAGAGAAGGTATTTATATTAAACTGAAAGGCGGTGTACGATCTAAATTTTTTAATTTTTGAAGATAATTACAGCAACAAGAAAGGAAGATTTATATATTGTGTTAGATCAAATCTTTATCAAAACAATTAATATTCCTAAAAACAATTAATAACTACTATGGATATTAATTATAAAAATTATTCCTTATTTTATTTGTTAAAAAGTGGAAAAATAACATAATTTTTTTTAGATTTACAATTATATTTGACATTTATTTAGATACACCATCATTATCGGTATAAAATATAATAGAAAGTTTCTTTTATTTTATCAGATTTGTGAATTTAAAGAATATATGATAGTTGTTTTGATATTATCTGCAATATCTATATATTTTAGAAAAGTAAATTTTACTTTTAAAAATAATTGGCTCGTAATTATCACAACATAAATTTATCATTAATATATCAAAAATATAATTAAATGATTAACTATGAGACACATCTTTTGTTGAAAAAAAAACAAAAAGAACCAAAAAGGAAAAAAAAAAAAAACACGGAAAAGGAAGAGAAAAGAAGAAGACACGACCAATCCTTTCTCCGACGTAATTGTATGTGACTCACGACCATGATTAGATTGGTGGAGATTAATATACCCGTCGATTTTGTGCATGCTCCAAAACGAATATCCTGAAAATCTTTCCCACGAGACTCATTAGTCTCTTTATTATCTAAGGTAATTTAAAAGAATAGTTTGTTTGATTGGTTGCAATTGTAGGATGCAAGATCATATCAATATGATGGTTTAAAGAAAAAAGATGGCCAATATGATGGTTTTCTATGATGATTCAACAGATCAAAAGGTGGTTTTCTATCATTAAATTGCCAAATTTCTGTTATTGCTATGAATATATGTTTTATGGTAGGGTAACAAGTTCTTAGTGGTCATTGGATGTTCTTGGTCGAACGATAAACCGTCATAAAAAAAGGTATGTAAACTACATTTGAGCCAAATTTATTTATTTTTTTTTATTTTTTCGTGTTTAAGAATATTACTATTTTTTAAAATGTAAAATATATCGAATTTTTATATTTTAGGGTCAGTTATTTTTTTAATTTTAATTAATATTCGAATTAATTTAATAGAAGGTATTTAAGTAATTACGCAAAATCAATGGCTCAACAAGAGCCGAGAGTCCGACACGTCAGCAAAAACACTTCTCAAATATTGTTATTATAGAGAAAGCTTATAGATTTCTCAATACATCCAAGCGTAATTTAAATATTAAACATGAAAGTACTAAAGTGAAAAACTCACCATATGTTCGATTGAATCAACAATTTAATTGTCCTGGAATTGTTTAACGACGTTGCATCCGTAACCTATAACCATACATAAACACCATGAATTCATATGTGTAAAGCCAAATAAAATAAAACGCAAAAAAAATAGAAAGCAAAAAAAATGGGGTTAGTTATGATTTGAAATTGAAACCTAGAGAAGGTATTTATATTAAACTGAAAGGCGGTGTACGATCTAAATTTTTTAATTTTTGAAGATAATTACAACAACAAGAAAGGAAGATTTATATATTGTGTTAGATCAAATCTTTATCAAAACAATTAATATTCCTAAAAACAATTAATAACTACTATGGATATTAATTATAAAAAAATATTCCTTATTTTATTTGTTAAAAAGTGGAACAATAACATAATTTTTTTTAGATTTACAATTATATTTGACATTTATTTAGATACACCATCATTATCGGTATAAAATATAATAGAAAGTTTCTTTTATTTTATCAGATTTGTGAATTTAAAGAATATATGATAGTTGTTTTGATATTATCTGCAATATCTATATATTTTAGAAAAGTAAATTTTACTTTTAAAAATAATTGGCTCGTAATTATCACAACATAAATTTATCATTAATATATCAAAAATATAATTAAATGATTAACTATGAGACACATCTTTTGTTGAAAAAAAAACAAAAAGAACCAAAAAGGAAAAAAAAAACACGGAAAAGGAAGAGAAAAGAAGAAGACACGACCAATCCTTTCTCCGACGTAATTGTATGTGACTCACGACCATGATTAGATTGGTGGAGATTAATATACCCGTCGATTTTGTGCATGCTCCAAAACGAATATCCTGAAAATCTTTCCCACGAGACTCATTAGTCTCTTTATTATCTAAGGTAATTTAAAAGAATAGTTTGTTTGATTGGTTGCAATTGTAGGATGCAAGATCATATCAATATGATGGTTTAAAGAAAAAAGATGGCCAATATGATGGTTTTCTATGATGATTCAACAGATCAAAAGGTGGTTTTCTATCATTAAATTGCCAAATTTCTGTTATTGCTATGAATATATGTTTTATGGTAGGGTAACAAGTTCTTGGTGGTCATTGGATGTTCTTGG